GGTCCACGGCCCTCCCTGATCCCTAACGCTCAGTGGGCCTCCGTGGCCGGCTCCCAAAAACTTAATAAGTGTCGTGGAGGCCCAGAGAAATTACTTTTTTCCCCCCTATTTTCCTTTTTGAGATAAGGTCTCACTCTGGCACCCAGGGAAGAGTGTAGTGATGTGATCATGGCTCACTGCAGCCTTGACCTCCTGGGCTCAAGCTATCCTCCCACATCAGCCTCCTGAGTAGCTGTGCACCCCACCATGCCCTGCTGATTTTTTTTTTCCTTTTAATTTTTTTTAGAGACAGAGTCTTGCTCTGTCACTCAGGCTGGAGTGCAGTGGTGCATTCACAGTCCACCACAGCCTCATATTTCTGGGCTCAAGGAATTCTCTCACCTCAGCCTCTGAGTAGCTGGGATGATAGGTGCCCATCACCACAATTAACTGATTTTTAAAAATATTTTTGTAGTGATAGGGGTGTTATATTGCTCAGCTAGAATGCAGTGGCCCAATAATAGCTCACTGTAAACGTGAACTTCTGGTTTCAAGAGATCCTCCTACTTCGGCCTCCTGAAGTGCTGGGATTACAAGCATGAGCCACCATACCTGGCAGAGAAATTACTTTTTTTTTTTTTTTTGAGTTGGAATTCACTCACCTCGGCTCCCAAGACGCAGGATTACAGGCTGAGCCATCGAGCCCGGCTGAGAAATTACTTATTAATGAGAGGGTTAGGAATGCCCTCAGGTTACAATAGACCTTGTTTAAGGGTGATAATATTATGGGTGGTTTTTCTTCTCTATTTTCCACAGTTTCAATGTTGAGTTACTCTCCTGTCATTATGAAGTTCCAACAGAACAAAGTTAAAGCACATTTCTGAGAGGTGATGTCTCAGTGATGATTGTGGCCAAGCTGCCTCACCTCTCTGGCTTCAGCTTTGTCTCTAAAAGGGGGAGGGGACTCTAAGTTGTGTTCTGGGTCCTGTGCCTTATGACACTTAGGGTATGAATATAATGGTGACACCCTTTAGATGGAGCTGGCTCGAGGGGGCAACACGGAAAAGCCTTCTCCTTGCTGACTGGGAAACAGGACAGGGAGTGATCCGAACCTCTGTCACAGCGGCAATTGCAGCATCCCAAAGGTGTCTGACTTTTTGACTTCCTTCAGCTTGCTGCAACTCCATTGTCCTGGAGAAAAGCACGGCAACAGCAGGATTCTGGACCACGTGGTGCCTTGGTAGCATAGGAACTGAGCGGTTACTAAGAAACCTTCTAAGGAATATTGCAAAGATGGGGCTTACGAACTCTCTCAAGCTGAGAGCTTGTAAAAAGCCAGGGTGAGGCTGCCACCTGGGCTGGCGAGCCCCTGCCTGAGAGGAGTGCCCCATGGGGTATCACTGGGGTGTGAGCGTGAAGAAAGCACTTGTGCCCAGCCCAGCGGAGCCTGCAGGAAGCTGCCAGCACCTTGGCTGTCCCCTGGGGATGCTTCCAAATGGCACTGAAGAGAACTATTGAAGAAAGGCAGGGACTGTCACAGAGTGGCCCACCTGCACGCAGGGTGAATACTATTTTGAGATTCTCACACTGAACCTATTCAGACTCTACAGCAGGAAGCAGAGCCATGTGTCAAAGCGGAACCCCTTATGAGTGCAGCTCTGGGTCAGCAAGTGGAGTACCAGGGAGAAGCCTGCAGCAGCCGTAAGGGAGGCTGGGCGGCAGGCCTAGGCCTTCAGAGACATGTTTAAAAACAACACTTAGCAGGGATGCCTCCACCTCGATTTAAAAATTAATTAACTAACTCATTAATTAATGGTTTCTAGAGACAAGGGTCTTGCTATGTTGTTCAGGCTGCTCTCAAATTCCTGGCCTCATGTGATCCTCCTGCCTCTGCCTCCAGAGTAGCTAGGACTGCAGGTGCCAGCCCTACTTCGCTTTTTTTAACACAAAGCAAGCACTCCAAATAACTTGTCAGTTCTTTCTGTCTCCGTCCCTCCAGGCCCAGATCTTTAAACATCTTGATGGGCTGGAGAATTAGGAGGATTTTGCCAGGCTCATGCAATGCTAGGTAGACGCAGGCGGTATTACTTCCCAGCTGAAATCCATCTGCTTAGCCAGCTCAGCAGGGCGAAAGGCACATTGGTGGGTGAATGCTGACGGTGCTTAAAGTGTCCCCTCTGAGACCTTCAGCGAGCTCCCGAGCGAGTGACAGAACCCAGTAGAAACTGCAGCTGCCAGGGAACAGGACTCCTGCGCCCCTGCCTGCCCCCTCTTCAGTGGAGATGCTCTGTGACTTGACTCGTGATTTGGTGACTTGGAGCCAGTAGGCCCTCGCTTCTGGCTTAGAAAGAGGGACCTTCTCCCTCTCCCAGAAACCCTGAACGGTGCATGGAAGCCATTTGAAATGCCCGTTGCTCCTAAGGAGTGGTCTGTGGGCTTTTAATAGGCTTTATAGTCATCTTTGTTAACGACAAGGACAGCCGCGAAGGCCATCCTCCTGTTTCAGATCCCATTCTCCTCTCATCACCCCTACAGCCACAGCTGCCACTGTGAGTCACTTCACACACGTCACTTAACAGTGATGGCCAGCCTAGCTTCTTCCCCAAGGCCCTGGGTACTGGTTCCTGGGGACTCTCTTGGCCAAACGGCTCTTGTGCTCCGCTCTAAGCATCCTTGAGATCAGAGATGCTGCTTCTACTTATTTTATTTTGAGAAACAGGGCCTCATTCTGTCACCCAGGCTGGTGTACAGCAGCACGATCATAGCTCGACTTCCTGGGCTCAAGCAGTCCTCCAGCCTCAGTCTCCCAAGTAGCTAATTAATTTTTTTTATTTTTATAGAGACAAGGTCTTACTATGTTGCCCATGCTAGTCTTGAACTCCTGACCTCAAGTGCTCCTCCTACCTCGACTTCCCAAAATGCTGGGATTACAGGCATGAGCCACCATGCCTGGTCTATTTACTTATTTCAGAGACAGGGTCTCATTATGTTGCCCTGGCTGACTTTGAACTCCTGGGCTCAAGCAATCTTCCCACTTCAGCCAGCTGAGTAGCTGGGATTACAGGTGTGAGCCACCATGCCTAGCTATGGTATATTTCTTTTTTTGAGTTGGAGTCTCACTCTGTCGCCCAGACTGGAGTGCAGTGGCCGCTCCCAGCCACCGCAGCCTCGACCTGCTGGGCTCTGGCGATCCTTGCGCCTCAGTCTTCCAAGTAGCTGGAACTACAGGCGCGCGCTACCACACCCAGCTAATTCTTTGATTTATTGTAAAGATGAGGTCTCACCAAGTTGCCCAGGCGGGTCTCAAACTCACGGGCTCAGGTAATCCACTCACTTCAGCCTCCAAAGGCGCGGGATTACAGGCTAAACCACCGAGCCCGGCTCATGGTATATTTTTAAAGCTCCTGTTCATACGTGGTATGGAGCATTAAGTAAGCCTAACAAACTATTGGTGTATAGGGTTTTTTTTTTGTTTTTTTTTTGAGTTGGAGTCTCACTCTGTCACCCAGACTGGAGTGC